ATTTCTTCTTCGATCAATGGGGTTTGGTTTGGGTCAATGGAAAGGGGGCAGAGAGAGAGAGAGAGAGGAAGTTTCCTCTTCTTTGCTTGCGACATGGAGCAGTAGGCAGATGTGGTTGAAGTGTGACGAACCGATGGGCCAAATGCCACGAGAGTTCGGAGTTAATTACTGGGTTAGTAGAGACAACAAACCGGCTTCGCGTTCGACCGTCACATTGGACCGGGTTCAGTGTTAATTTACACGTAAAATCGCGATCCGTTGGACTTTGGAGAACTGGAAAGGAGTGGACCGGTTCGATGATAAGAAAGATTTTAGCTTGACTTGGTGAGCTACATTAGATTTTAATTGGACCGGAGTAAATTAGATTTTGACCCGATTCAATTATATTCAACCTAATTCCTTGGAGCTCCCGTGAGCTTAACACAACACAGGCATTGTTGTTCCCTGCAGGCTTTCCCTCTCCACGCGCCGACACGGTGGATGAGTCCCTTCCGACGGCCGCGCACAGTTCCCACTTCTTAACGAGCACCACCACCAGCAGCGACAATGGATGGGGACGGGCGATTGTCTTGGTTTTGTCGTTCGTCGCCGATGGTATGTTGCACCCGCACCTGCGCCGCGCCCCTCCTCGCCGCATTCGTTGGAAGGTAATAACCTACTCGAGAATATGTTCCTGCTCCAAACTGATGCTTTTCTTGATCCTATAACGTTACTTCCTATAGCCGAATTGGCCAAAGCCTGTGATACGCAAGGACTTTTGTGCCTTTGGAGTTCAATATGCCCAGTATAGATTGCACTTTGTGCTTTTGGAGTTCAATATGCCCTGTATAGATTGCACTTTGTGCTTTTGGAGTTCAATATGCCCTGTATAGATTGCACGCGTCATGTTCGTTTAAATGCCTGTGAGACATTCATCTTGAACATAGTATTTGATGGTGGTAGATGGACCACGAATTTATCGTGTGATCTAGGCTTTTTTCTTGGCCGATATTGAGGAGGGAGGTATCCATCCAGCTCCGAGCTCACCCTACGATGGGAGGATCGGAGGACTGTCAGTTCTAAGTCTTGGCCGCCTTGTTAACCTGTGAGTTTTGGGACAATCATCCTTCTCAGTTGTGCTTTATGTTTAAAAGAAAAATGAAAAGAAATTTTCATTACATCAAATGTTGTTAACATGTCGACTCAAACTTGAGACCTATCACTTGTGCAACACTGCACTAATTACTATATGTTAAGACCCTCTAGTTCTCACATCTTAGCCATCTATCAATATGATTATCCAACTATCTAATTTAATAGTGAAAGATCTCATCAAGATCTGGTGGGAAGATGTCAAATGCTCTTATGGAGCCACTTTTAAGTGGCTCCTAACTTTGAAGTGACCACATTGCTTTCATCCACAATTATTAAAACAAAAAAGGGATTTGTCATGCCAATCATTGAAAAGTTTGGCAAATGTGCATTTGTCACAACAAATTTGACTATAGCATTTATGCCCCCCGGTAACTATGATCCACCATAAAACTCCTGCCATTAACATTCATTACAAGAACTAAGGTAACAATTGTCAGCTAATTTCATTTTTCTTTTAAATTAAGATTTAAAATAATAAAGTTTCATTGATACTTTTACCATCATATTTGCTTTAAAGGGCATATTTAAAGGGGTGCTAATGCCAATCAGAACCTAAACATTGTTTACTTTAATGATCAGGTGACGTGGTGATTTACATGTGCAAGTTTTGCAAAGATATATACATATTCATAAAAATTTAAATTGAGTGATAATAAGGATACATTTTTATGTATATGTATGTATACATTTTTATGAAGTCAAATAATAAGGATAGGAGGAGATTTGTCTTTGAGTCATCAAATATTTACTGATGCATGAAATTCACTAGGAAGCAAGTCATAAGCACTCTTATATATGAATCATACTGAACATTGGATTACTGGTTCATATTCAGTTGTGCCTAAATGTTGATCCTTTGTTCCTTTACATTGAAAATATATGTTTTTTTTTCATGTCTAAATATAATACTTTTTAGCTCCTCTCTGGAGCTGTAATAATTGATAGACTGGTAGATGCCAAGAAAAGGGGGAAATGGTAAGCTGTAATAATTGATTTATTCATCAGATTTTGTAGTCCAGTGTCAACTTCTGGAGATGTTACGGCAACAGACAGGTGCTTTCGACATCCTTCAGGGCAAACATTACTGGCTGTTATGCAATTTTCCTGTCTATCCTTTGGCACATTTCTGACGTGAGACTCTCGTTGAACCTTACTTGCAGACCAGGCTTTATTTTCTTGGCATTGCTTGGATTGGATCTAGCAAGTGACTGGTTGCAAATATACAGGTAAATCGTTCATTTCCAGTGGAATGAGAAAGGGGGTATTAGAATTCTGTGATGCTTTCCACAACTGTTTACAGAGCTGCGTCCTAAAGGAAATGTAATATAATGAAAAGAAGCATTTGCATAATATAATGGATAAACTTGCATCCAGTGATGCTAAAGAAGGCATAAACACTCAGTAGAGTGTTGATGCATAAATTATTAGGAAAATATGCTTTGGAAGGCGTATACACCTTGTAAAGTGTCAATTCAATGCATAAATGATTAGGAATATATGCTTTCTCAGATTAGTCTGGATTTTGAATATACCTGATCTGACAGAGTTAATTTCCTTACCCACTTTCATTGTGTCATATGATCTTGTAGGTGCAATTTGACATATTCTTATCGATCAATCTGGAATGGAATTGGCTGATTTTTCGAACTTTGCTGCCAGTGATTTATACCGGTTTGACCAGCTGTTGGGTGGGGAGGGGGGGGGGGTCATTACCCATGATTAAAATCCTTGGTTTAACTGATGGTGTTTCAAAACACTAAACTAATTTCATTCTATGCTTAAATCTGGTCTACGGTGTAGATGTTTAAAATTCTGCTTATTGTAGGCTTTTCAAATGCTGTAGATTGTTGTGATCGATATACATTAGTTAGCAAAGACGTGGGAAGTAAAGAAACATTCCTTATCATTCCACATTGAGAAAATTTGTCCTTCACTATTATAATTTAGAATTGCATTATATGTATGGGTTGAATTTGCCTTTCTCTTGCCATCCATTTTTTTTTTTTATATTCATTTTCTGTGCTTTACCCTCGAAGCCGATAAAATAGATAATGCAGGTGCTAATGTCTCTTACATTAAGAATAAACCATGAATTTTGCTCTGTTTGTTGGGCTGACATATTCAGCTCTGATTGTGCTCTTACAGCCCACATATTCAGTCCATGATAAACTTTAGCCGTCCACAGCCCACCCCTCTTTGACCTAATCATAGATCAAACTAGAGGGGTGTGGTGATTGTGTTTTTTGGAGCAGATAAAAAGACAACAACGAGGGAGAAAACTATAGCAGTAGGGGAGATCTTGGCAGCAGCATCTTGATTCAAAAAGGAGGAGAAAAAGACATAAAAACAAGAAAAAAAAGGGAAGAAAACAAGGACAACGCAGAGATATTGTTATTCTCTCTTGTGATTGTTGTAAGGGTTTTGAGCAATAAATTAAGATTTGTATATTTATTATTCTTATAGTGGATTATCTTTATTTTGTCGTGCATATTATGACCTATTAGTATTTATTCATATACAAAAATTTAGTTTCACTCTATATCTCATTTTTTTTCTCAGTATTGTATTTTCATTTTTGCCGCAATACCAATGCGTCTTAATTTGTTTGGTGTGGGCAAATGCATATGAAGCAATCCTGCTTCTCTGCCCTCCCTCGAGCAAGGTCAGTTCCTTCTGTTAGGGTGTTGATGCGCGGTGCATCGACACCCTAACAGAAAACTACAAGGCGGCGTCATACAGCGCCCAACCTCTTATTCTTTCTACGGCGATGAGCAGAACCGGTGTAGGAAAAAGAGAAAAGGCTGCGGAAACCGAGCGGGGGGATTACCGCACACTAGCAGAGGAACGAAGACGCCGGAAAACATTTATTACGGTCCGAAATCCTCGGAATCCCGCGTAACTCCACTTTCTTATCCTCCGTTGAGGTGAGCGGAACCCAGGTGTACTTCGATCCACCGTCAAATTGGTCCAACGAAAGAAAAGAACAAGGAAAAGTGATGGCAACGCACCGGTGAGCGAGTGTACCAAACTGTAGTCGCAGGGTGATAAAAGAGGTCCCAAAAATCAATTAGAACAGCCCAAAATCTCACAAAGCTCCCGTAACTCCACTTTCTTATTCTTATTTGCGGTGGGCGGAACTCGGTACCAACCGCCAGTTTCCCGCACTCGGTTCGGATGCCAAAGCGGTCGAGAAAAGGACGAGATTAGGTTTGGGTTGCCGTGGAAGCATCGTTAGTGATGGGCGGCGAAAGGAGACTTACGGTCGCTGATGGGGCCGAAGTCGACCGGCGGTCGGCAACCGACACTTAGGGCGGTGCTGCCGTCATCTTCACTAGTGTATTTAGTGACTGAACGTGGTTTTTGTCGTTCAGATGAAGCTTAGACGCGCCCATGCCCATGCCTAATGCCCAATCAGGACGAGGATAAGAGAGAGACTTATCCCTACTGCTGCCCGCTGGAAAATTTATTTTTCTTTAATTAGTTTTTGGGTGGTCGGTAAGAGTCATTTGCATTGAGTTGACTTTGGTCGATGAATTATGGATATCGTGATACCTAAAGGTTGACGTGTGTCAATCTTGTGTTATGATATTGTAAGCCCGACATTACGTTATAAACTTAGCATGATCTTTAGGTAGTTGCTCGCTCATCTTAGATCAATACTCTTCTTTATGTTCTCACTCGTTCGACATACATTCCGCTTTAGTGTTAGTATTTTGTAGGACATCAAACAAAATGCTCGTATTAGTCGACATCCAATGAGACTACGAATTAACCTTTAAGACAATAAGTATTTTTTTCTTCATAATATTCATAAACATGAAAATATCTATTGATTTAACTGATAAAATATAAATTCAAATCTCGTCTTCATCATTTATCTTTATAAATAAAAATTATGTATATAAATAAAAGATTAGGCATAGGGTATTAGTACATGACCCAACATAAAAGAGAAGGCAGGGTTGTGGTGTTAATTTGGGTTTCTTGTATCGACCTGCGGATGGCTATTTGTTGGTTGGGCTGCCTGCGTTCCTCCATATCTGTTCCAGCTCCCCGGCCAAGGCCTTGTGGTGGCCGACGACGATGGTGATGTGGTCCTTCCTCTGGAACACCTTGACACGAGCCCTGGGGATCCTCGACCCCACGGCGTAGCTACAGTCGACAGGGAGGACATCGTCGTCGTCGCCATGGAACACCGCCACGTCGCAGCAGCTCCGTCTGTTCACCCTATCCATGTACCGTTCCATCGCCTCCGCACTCCCGCATATCACGTTGTGCAAGCTGTGCCATGCAGCACGGTGGGTGTGGCACATGAAGGCATCCATCATGTAGGTCCTTATCCTGTTCCAACAACAACACAACAATACATCAAGCATCATTCAGACACTTGGTTTCCTGGCGCAGTCCATGAGGATTTCAGCTTGTCGAAGTTTCGAGGCCACGGAAGAGCATGTGAGAGTCATAAATAAGGATTGACCAGAGCGTAATGTCGACTGAAAACACAGGAATAACGCGCTAGCAAATATCTGGAAGGTAGAGTTGTGCAGGATTTGGTGGCCTTCATTGTCATCTCATTCATGCTGCATCGCATCAGATAATGACGTGAAGAACTCGGCGGATGTGGGTGTGCAAGCAGTACTCGGACCATGATTAATGATGAGCACAGGCAGGCTGATGGAGACATACGACGAACAATTTAAATTTTCTGAGAAAGATGTCAATACTATGAATTTTGAGTGGTGAAACCTCGAGATCTGTACGGTTCTATGAACCAGAAATGTAGTGATGAATTATAGCAGGGAAGAAAACAAAGCAGACGACAAACAAAACAGGGCCGTTTACTGATTGATTTCTAAGCTTCCTTGTATTACTATCTTCCGCCAAATCATCAAGAGTTCAATAGACTTGGCCAATTCGTAATCGTGACAGGATTAACATCGTATGCAATTTTCACTGGCATAGAGCTCAACATGAGAACTATCTTGACTCGTTTGGGTAGTCAGCCTGCATTAAAAGCAGACATGACGTCCTATATAACACTAGCATTGAGTTGGATGGAGGCTGATGGGACGGAAACTGTGCTTCATCAAATACTCAACCATTTAGATGTTGCATTAGGCGGAAGGGAATAACTAAGTTCAGCATGGCTGTGTCCTCGAATCCATATATACATCCATCAAGCTTAGCCGAAGGGCAATAAAGTTGCCGACCTCTGTCCTTCAGCATCGACTCGACGCGCTGAGGGATAATAGGGAACATCGTTTTCCCATACCGAACAGCCTCTTGCAACTAACTACTTGTTGAAGCACATTAAATTTTGATTCGTATTTGGAGTTGCATTGGATATATATATATATATATATATATATATATATATATATATATATATATATATATATATATATATA